TTTTTTTTTCTGCTTTGTTTCTTTTTCTGTACGGTGATGAAGAGAACAGCTTTTATCATGTACAATGCCAAAAAAAGGGGTATGCTGTGCAAAACTCGTTTTGTTTTTTTTCAAAAGTCTTCAGACAAGAAAAATAAAGTTAAGAGTAGTGTGGTTGATTGGTTGGTTTGGAAGTTAGTATAGCAGCTAAGAACCTAGTTATGGTTGATAGGAACGTTGTTTGAATTAACGTTGCAAAAAGTTAAAAATGTTTGAAAAGGAATTTGAAAGGTTGTTTCATTATTCACAGTGCGCATCGTTCTGATATTGTGACGTGTCAGTTTTCAGTTTGGATTTGATAGTTGCTGTTTTACTTATTTATTATCAAAGGAATGCTACAGTGCTGGTGATTTAATTGGGAAGAAAAAAATGATGATAAAATCAGCAAAAAGTTGAGATGTTCATAACTGCGTTTGGTGGAATTTAGAACGAAATATCTGATCAAAACCTATTGTGAGATAGTATTAAGGCAAATTGCTTTTAACGGAACTCGAATTTTGGAGCATGAGGACGTAACAGCGTGATTGTTGGGAATTTATCTGTCCAAGTCATGCATTTGATGTCACTGCAGGACTCAGTAGGTGACAAAGATTAATCATCAAAAATGTTCAGGTGAAAGAATCATTGTTTCTTCATTTTTTTCATCTTTTTTACTGTTTAATCAGAGCAGGATTTTTAATAAATATTTTCTTCTACTGCAAGCTTTTTGTTAGTGGCTTTAAACTTTTGATGATCGGGCTTTGAAAATCTTGGGAAGAAAAGTTTTTTAATGATTTATTTCTTTCTGATGTTGGCGATGAGAATCCATCATTTGTTTATTGTTTTTTATTTTTATTTAGTTTTTTCGGTAACTTTTATGAAGCTTTGTCGTAGTTTGATGAATCTCTTTTTGCTTAAGTCGAACAGTTCAGTGAAAATTTTGCAGTAAACTTACACTTAAAACTGCGGTTTCTTAAGTCGGTTCTGGAATATTAATTTTTCAGCGAAAAAAAAGCATTATGACAAGTTGTTCTGTTTCTATGAGTTATAGTTGTGTGGAGAATACGAGTAGTTTGAGACCTTTTATTTTTGTTCGGTTTTATATACTTTATCTTCTTCGTTAGAGCCATTAATATTAGGCCCGCGTAATTACTTGAAATTTTTTGCTGTTATAATGTTTATCTAAGATGAACTGACATTAAAATGCAGTATTGTACATATGAACGTATTGGCTATTTCAAATATGTAAAAGAAGAGTTTAGCTGATTCTGTGATGGATAAATGCTTGTTTAATAAGCTGTATTTACAGCTGTATTAGGGATTTAAAGAAAAACATAAGCCATTGTCGTTTTAGATGGCTTTTGAGGAGAAACTCATAGATGTAGCTGGTGATTTAACAATCAAAAAAATAATCTTTTTTTAGACAAAACTGTTGCTAGTTTAGCTGACAGTTTTACAATTTTTGAACAGAAACACAAGAACATCAGTAGTTGTTGCAGAATCTTGTAGATTTTTTAAGCGTGCTGTCAGGTTTTTGAAAGATTAGTTTTGATACTCTATTTTACAGCCGAGTAAACTGATGTTACATTGGAAAGCTCCGGCTCTGTTTGTTGAATTCAAAGTCACTTTATAATTTGTGTGTATTTTTTAAAATTGAGCAGTTTATATTGATAATAGTGGACTCGATTTATGAAAAATTGAGAAAGATTTTTCGATTCACCGGAGAGGTACAAAATTGTATTTTTAGGAAAACGGTTGCTGTGAAGAACTGAATGGTAGAAGATTGAAAAGGGGAGCTTTTCGACATTTTGTTATTTCTTAGTTTACTGCAGTTGTGGCCAGTTTTCTTACAGGCAATTCTTCCGTACTGATCAAACAAATTCTGTTTAATTTTGAACTTTTTCCTAAGGTCAGTTGAGTGATCACCGTTTGGATAAAAAGTTCGATAGACTGATAAATATGCTGTTACGTTGAAACTATTCAATTTTTTAAATTTAGATATTTTCTACTCATACGGAAGTTCTAATTTTTTTTACAGTCATCGAATTACTTGCCTGTTTACGATGTATTGATAACGCCTTCTGAGCATGTCAGCATCGTCTAATGTCACGTTGTTGTGCACTTAACATGTTGCTGTCTATAGATGACTTTCCCAGCATCATTTAATGCTGGACCAGGAAGCAGTGGGAGGACGGTGAAGGTTTAATTAAGATGAACTGGTTATTTACGACTACTAAGTCTTATTTGTAGTAATGGTAATTTGCAGTTTAAAAAAAAAAAAAGTTGAAACAAAAACAAGTTTTTTTTTTTTTTAAACGAAATAACAGGAATGAGATTAGGTGGCGAAACAAGTTGGCAATAAAAATTTAAAGAAAAGAGCGTTTTTGGCCAGGGTGGCAGTTTTTTGTATCGATGATTAACTTTATTTTTGATTCTCTTTTGTCAGCTAAAAGCATTAGAATTTTGTTCTAAGGAATGAGGAGGAAAATCAGTAGCAAATGTTAAGAATGTTTAAACTGGAAA